CCCTTTCCCTCGGCTGTACGGTCTTCCAACTTCTGCCTAGCTTCAGGGAAAACAGCAAGGCAAACCCTTAAACCCTAAAGCCCTAACCCCTAAACCGTAAACCCTAAACCCTACACCCTAAACCCCAAAACCCAAAACCCTAAACCCTAAACCCTTAGGGCTTCAGGGGTTTAGGGTTTGGGTCCCAGAGTCGAAGGATTCATTTCGAGGCTTCGAGTCGGTCGGTTAGGAATGTTCAAGGTTTAGGGTTTAGGGTTTAGGGTTTAGGGTTTAGGGTTCGGGTTTAGGGTTTTAGGGTTGTAGGGTTGTGGGTTTTGGGTTTTGGGTTTGGGACTTTAGGGTTTTTAGGGCTTTTAGGGTTTTAAAGGCGACCAGGACCCTCCAAGTACCCTCAAATAGGGGTATATGGTCCCAAATTAAGGGTATTCAGGGTCTGATAGAGGGTAGATGGAGGGTCTAGATAGGTGGGGATCTTCATGTTTTCGTAGGCTTCTTGGTAGTGGTTTTTATGGGGGTCTTAGGTCTGCTGAGGAAGGGGCTGTTGGTTTAGGATGCCAGACTAAGGCCTCTCAGGAGCTTCAGAGCGGGTTACAGGTGTGTCTTAGGTTTTCGGCTTATGGGGTTATGGATTTGGGCGTGTGTAGGGTACTTGGAGGATCATGGGACTTAGTAACTAAGCTTATAAATAAGGTAACCATATTTATAACCCCAATTAGGGTACTTATAACCTTACTTACGAAGTCCCATGATCCTTCAAGTGTGCTGTTGGGGGTTTCGGCGGTGCGGAGTCTTCGGTGTATTGGATTGGTTTTCGGTGATTTGGGGCTTCGGAATCGGTCCCAAAGAGTGGTCCTGGCGACGTGACAAGTCTTTGCCCCGAGAAGTTGAAGCCTGCACGAAATGCCGAACAAAACGCACCTCGAACCAGCTCCAGAAGAAAAACAACACAACACATCGTAAACTCTGCATGGCTTAAGCCCTGCACCGAAAAGGCCTTAACCCCCCCCCCGTAATAGATATCTGAAGCTCTACACCGAAAATACAAAATTTTACCCCCCCTAAACCCTAAACCCTAAACCCCAAACCTTTTTAAAAGGACCACCCGAGGCCTCGAAGGTTGGCCAGACTTCGTCGTCCAGGTCGGCCTAAGGGCTACAAATTTATGACCCCCAGATTGAGCGGGGAGGCGTCAGACGGCTTTACTACTGTAGGGGCTTTTTAACAGGGTTTTTGGGGCCCACTGTACTTTAATTATAATAAGGAGCCCCCGAAATAGTATTGGTAATCATTGTTTAGGCGCCTACATTAGGTGGTGGGTTTAAGGTGTGGGGATACACTGTGTGGTCAGGATGTAGCTTTGGGATTCAGGTTGAAGGCGCATGCCCCGCGGCAGCCAAGCAGACCATCTTCAACGTACGCCTAAGGTAGGGGCCTTAATAATTAGAATAGGGTTTTGAGGCCCATTATACTATAATTCTAATAAGGACCCCCCCAAACTAATATAGGTAATTATTTACTGTAGGCCCCTACATTACATGCACGACTGCGCGAAACTGGTGCGAGCCTGCTTGGAAACTCCTGTGAGCCCACTTTGGATTTAGTCTTCCGTTTTCTGCTGTATTTTAGCACCACCGACACTGCAAGCCTGCCCGCCTGTGAAATTTCTGCCCATCATCCTCACCCAACCCCTCGACTCCAGTTTGGCCTTCACTCTCAATCGGAAGCTCTCTGCCATGCGGCAGCGTACCATTACCATTCAGTCTGTACAATGCCATGTAGTACCATGGAATACTTGGAGGATCATGGGACTTAGTAACCAGGGTCATAAATAAGGCAACTATAATTATAACCCCCAAAATTAGGGTACTTATAACCTTACTTACCAAGTCCCATGATCCTCCAAGTAGCAAAAGCTACAAAGACTCTGAGGCCCCGGCTCCCGCCATAGCCCCCATGGCCCCTGCGGCTCCGAGGGACTCGGCAGCGTAGCCTCCCAGCGCCGGCTGGGCCGCACGCGGGGCAAAGCCGATCTCCTCGATGGCGGAGGAGATGCCTCGGCGTGAGGAAAGTCTCATCAGATGAAGCATTATGGTTCAACCATGGTGGTGAGATATGCAGGTACATCATCATTTTCTCCACCAATGTTAAAATCACAGTATTCAGCCAAAATACTGTTACTTGATACGAGTACTGGTATGAATACGAATCCTCATCCTCGTCGCCCCGACTGCAACGATTTGTAGGAGAACAGCAAGCGGATAAAGAGAACCTCATTAGACCCGAATTGGCCGCGGATCTAGATCACACTTGCCGGACGTCGCTTCTGTGGCTTTGGAAGCTGATGATTACATGGGCTATTTGCGCTTCAGTGCTCAACTGGAAGCTCACCCTAGGATCTTTTTCGGAAGATCCCGACATCAAGCCCACAAAACTCAAGAACCTTAGCTGCCTTAGCTCTAAGACAAGAATCTCTTCTCTGCTCCATGTGATGGCCCGCCAAGGTCGAGGCTGTCCTGATGCAAGCATCGTCGCGGGAGGCCGTCTGCTTAGCTTTGGGGCCCCTGTGCAGTCTCAGAGAGCCCAACTTGCCCCCTTAAATCAGGAATAGACCTTAAATTCTAGGGGCCTTTAAAGGGATCTATAAGGGTTTAGGGTTTAGGAATATACCTCAAATTATAGCGGCCTTAATATTATGATTTAAGGTATATTCCTTGACTAAGGGGTATTGTGCTCTCTGGGTGTGCAGATAAAGCAGCCTCGGACACGCTTGACAGGTACAGCCTCAACAAGCGGCTAAGAAGCCTCGGGTGAAACCTTGCTCTGTGCTTGTAATTTCACACTTGAAGGATCATGGGACTTCGTAAGTAAGGTTATAAGTACCCTAATTGGGGTTATAATTATAGCTACATTATTTATAACCCTAGTTACTAAGTCCCATGATCCTCAAAGTAATCTCGTTTTCCTAAACTCTATACCAGCCTTTTGCCAACATCCCTCCGCCCGACTCCTGTAACCCGACATGCTACCAAACCCCAAAGATGCAGCTCCGAAAGGAGGCATCAGAAGTAAGTAGGTGTGGTGTTCATGCCACGTTGTACTGGGTTTAGGGCTCACCTCTGCAGCCCCAGGCAACCGCAAGCCAACGAAAAACTGAGGCAATTCTCATCATCGCTATGGTCATTGTTGCTATCGTTGCCGTTGTTGTTATTGTAATTCTTGTCCTTAGACTTGGACTTCTTTGACGTGGCTAAGTTGTCGTACATATCGAAGGAAGCTCCCTGAACCCGCTGCCCTACGCCGTAAGCTCTCAACCGAGTCGAGAGTCCAAGCCATCCAAGCCATCGAGCGTGTCCAGGCCATCAAGCGTGTCCAAACCTGGAACTCTGGGTCGGGTCCAATACTTGGAGGATCATGGGACTTAGTAAGTAAGGTTATAAGTACCCTAATTGGGGTTATAATTATAGTTACCTCCAGGATCCTCCAAGTAACTCAGAGAGCCCAATACCCTCTTAAATAAGGAGTATACCGTAAATTATGGGGGGCCTTCATCTTATGATTTAAGGTATATTCCTGAATTAAGGGGTATTGGGCTCTCTGGGAAGGACCATCTTTTGACATTGACCGTAGCAGCTCCTTTGAAACCACAACCGAGGTATCAACACAAATACCGCGATCGTCAGTCAGTTGCCGCCCTGAAAGACCGGAACCCGAAACCCTAAACTCCTCCTGACAAAGTCCCAGCCCACCTCCCATGGCTTCCGTGTGAGCTTGGGCCGGGAAGCTCAAGTAATATGTAGCCAAATCGAAATACATGCTGTTTTCAGTCCTAGCGCTAAGGCTGCTCGGGGTAGAAGTTCATCCAATTGGTTGGGGAGTACGAAGAAGATGGTCGGGTGGAGCACGGGTGGACTTCGTCAAGATCTGGTGGCTTGGCGCTGCAACTACTGACTTTCTACACTATCTTCAACCGCCTGCTGAATCTTACACCCACAGTAGGCCCTAAACCCTAAACTCTAAACTTGTCTTAGACCCTAAACAATACCTCTGGTCACTATCTTCATGAGCCAACCGGACGTGTTGAGCCCAAGGCCGGCGCAGCAATGCAGGACAGCCCTTAAGTGGCCTTTGTTGCATACTATGCACTACTATAAGATGTTAAAACAAACATTAACAAACTATGGTATACCGTAATATACCATCATCTACTATAATATACTGCAACTCGATTCTGTGAACCCTGGGACAACCAAGCCCCTTCTTTCATGCTTCTTCTACAACTCCTGTTCTTGTTCTGTTTCCAACAACAAGAACTACTACTCCTACTCCTACTCCTACTCCTACTCCCACTCCTACTCCTACTCCTACTCCTACTCCTACTCCCACTACTACTACTACTACTACTACTACTACTACTACTCCTACTACTCCTACTACTGCTACTACGGC